TGCCAGGGAAGTGCTTATTCTACTGAGCCATCTCCTCAGCCCCTACCTTTTCATTCTTAATTACATGACTTTGAGTCTTTCCTTTTGGTGATAAGGTTGGTTAAGGGTTTGTTAATTTCATTTAATCTTTCAAAGAACCAAACTTAAATTTATTGATTCTTTGTATTATTTTTGAGGCTACATTGCATTAATATTTGCTTTGATCTTTATAATTTCCTGCCTTGTATGAGCTTTGGGCTTGACTTGCTTTTTTCCCTAGAAGTTTGAAGTTCAACTTTAAGTTGTTTATTTGCATTTACTGTTTTTCTGATATGGGTATTCACTGCTATAAATTTCCCTTTTAGTACAGCTTTTATTGTGTTTAATAAGTTCAAAAATGTTGTATGAGCATTATAGTTTAATTGTAGAAACTTTGATTTCATATTTGACCAACTGGTTGTTCCAGAGGATATTATTGAATTTCCCTGTGCTTATGATGTTCTTGTGGTTTCTTTTGCCTTTGATTTCCAACAGTGTTGAAGTATGGTCTGATTATATTCATGGGGTAATTTCACTTCCTTTGAAGTTATTTAAGCATGTTCTGATTTCAGAGGTGGTCTATTTTTGAGAACATACTCTGTGCAGTTTATTTATTTTTCTCCCATAATTTTATTGAGAAACAAATAGCAATGAGGCAGTTTCAAATCAAATTGGTAGGACAGATTCAATAATTAACACATTGCATACGTTCTTCCTAGTGGTTAATTTCTGTAAAAGATGTAGACATGATAATATTTTATTTACAAACACCATTAGAACAAATCCCTCTATTCATTAAGAGAATGTAACTATATATCTATCCTAACCATTTTGAATACACAGATATGAAAAAGACATTCATCTGTATGCCTTTTGTTTAGTTCAGTTATTTGAATATTATAGGTGGGTTAACTCAGCAAAATATTCTAAAAGAGTCCAGTAGCCCATAATAGTATTGGGTCTTCTGCTTCACTGGCAATGTCAGAAATTGTTGACCTGAGTCCCCCGCAGCTCAACATAACAGCATGGCTTTACTTCTTATATTTCGTTTTTATACTTTTCGGCTGGACGGTTAAGACCAAGGTAGAGCAGGACCTATGCAACAAGAATTGTAGCTTTTGGGTCTGATAAGGTCAGTGAAATCCCCTCAGGATTTATCCTGAGATCCTGTACCTCAGATTGTAGAACCTTTGTCAGTGTCAG